GATGGAGGTGATGGTGATGATGGTGATGGTGATGATGGTGATGGTGATGATGGAGGTGATGGTGATGATGGTGATGATGGTGATGGTGATGATGGTGGTGATGAGGATGGAGGTGATGGTGATGATGGTGATGATGGTGGTTATGATGATGGTGATGGTGATGATTGGTGATGATGGAGGTGATGGTGATGATGGTGGTGATGGTGATGGTGATAATGATGGTGATGGTGGTGATGAGGATGGAGGTGATGGTGATGATGGCGATGATGGTGATGGTGATGATGGTGATGGTGATGATGGTGGTGATGGTGATAATGATGATGGTGATGGTGATGATCGTGATGGTGATGGTGATGGTGTTGATGATGGTGATGGTGATGATTGGTGGTGATGGAGGTGATGGTGATGATGGTGGTGATGGTGATGGTGGTGATGATGGTGGTGATGGTGATGATGGAGGTGATGGTGATGATGGTGGTGATGATGGAGGTGATGGTGATGATGGTGGTGATGGTGATGGTGGTGATGGTGATGGTGATGGTGATAATGATGATGGTGATGGTGATGATGGTGATGGTGGTGATGGTGATGATGATGATGGAGGTGATGGTGATGATTGGTGGTGATGGAGGTGATGATGATGGTGATGATGATGGCAATAACAAAACAACAGTTTAAGGATCTCCTTCCACTTTGTAATTTCTTTTGTGAGCTCTCAGAGGGAACTCTTATTGTTAAGCAACTGGCTCTTTCAGAATGACGTTACAAAGAATTGACTTTTTTATGTGCTATTCCTCTGCCTGCCCACCAGAAGCCACCCTGCCCTCATCTCAGGGACAGGTGGCCTGGGGAGGGGGATATGGGACCAGAGAGCAAAGGGACTTGGAATGCCAGGCTCCAGGACAGGTCATGAGTCCTGGGGAGCAGTGGACGAGAGCAGATGGCCTCCCACAACGGAAGGTGAAGCTGCAGCGGCCCTGTGCTACCCGGCCCTGGGATGGTGGGAGGCAGGCCAGCCTGTGCAGATGGGGTCCTGGCTGCAGCAGGGCGGGAGGGGAGGAGTAACTGTAACGATGGCTCCCATCCTGCCTCACCTGGGTGGAGCACTTTGCCTGTATAGATGCACCTCCTGTTCTGCACTGGGGACCACTCTGACCTCTCTTCCACTGAAGAGGTGACTGCGGCAGGGTGGACAAGTTCAACCCAGGAGCCCATGTCCTGGCCACTAGGCACCCTGCCTCCCCAAGAGAGGCCCAGACGGCCTGGGAGGGAGCTAAAGCCCCCATGTTGGGAAATCCCAGGTCTTCCTTCTTGACAAGCCTCCATGCCGTGTCATGGTTGAGGGTCAACCACAGATAGCAACCCATTCCTGTGAGGCTGCAAGCAGGTCGTTTACACCGCACTGAACTACCACCCTAGCGGAGCAGTCACCACCTTTGAGGACGAGGGCTCTGACCCTCCCTGGCCATCAGGCAGAGAGGGCAGGTTTAAGGGGTGCTTGGATGCCTCCAGCTTTAGAAACACTGTCCCAGGATGCTGAAAACGCCACCATGGAGCACAATGACGCGGTGTGGCCCTGCTCACCTGTGCTCGCACAGAGACTAGACAATCGTAGGGCTGTGGAGCCACAGCAAGGGGAGTCAGGGGCCGCATCCGGGGGTGAGGAGCCGGAGGAGGCCTGGGCAGCCCCGGGCCCCACTGCCCTGCAGGCCTGGCTCAGCACCTGGGCAAGGCCACGCCCCCTGTGGCACAGCCAGCTCCTCCTCCTGTATTACAACCAGGCAGGACCCCGGGTTCTGACTCGCGGAGCTGGCTGCGGCCTGCTGGTCACATTGAAGGACCTCCTGCACCTGTGGTCGCCCCAGGGGAATAACCAAAGGGGGGTCTTCAGCCCTGAGTGTGTCCCCTGGAGGAGCTAGCACCAGGTCGCTCTCAACAATGCCCTGTCCCACTTTTCTGTCCCCAGATGCTGGTGGGGCTGCCTCTCCCTCCACGTTCGGCTGACGGACCCCCGCTCATACTGGGGGGATGTTTCAATCGTCCCGAGGCGGCACTACCAGGACCAGAACCCATTCACTGCACGCCTTCCCAGCTGCTTGAGCTCCTATGCCCACAAGGGCCCTTGGGAATGCCGCCCAGTCAGTAAGCCCATCAGGGAGCACAGACCCCAGGATGGGGGCTGTCCGGGAGGATTCAGTGAGGACCTCGTGTTGGGGAGGACCCTCGTGCAGCAGGACTCCCACGTAGGAAAGAGGCAGTGATTTCACTGCAGTAAAGGGCTCCTTCCCCTCCAGGAGCTGGTCTCATGCCCATTTTATGGAAGAACTCAGGCGCCCAGTACTCTCCCCACTGGCTTTAGTGGCAGAAACTCCTTGGGCCACAGGCCTCTTTGTGGGAAAACCTGGCCCTTCCATGGGTGGGGAGACCTGCGTTGACATGGTGCGCCCTGCACACCTGGACAGCTCTGGCCCCGGGGAACCAGAAGCTGAGTGGTTTGAGAGTCAGGGTGTCCCCAAGGCAAGGGAGGAGGGAGCACCGGGGAAGGGCCCTGGGGCAGGGGAGGGTGGTGGCAGGTCACCCACCACAGGTTCACCAGGAAGACGTGTTCGATCTCCTGCAGGATCTCCAGCTCCCGGAACACGTTGCGCACCTCATCCCGCTCGATGCACTGCTGCTTGTTCATGTACTTCATGGCGTACATCTTCTCTGTGTCCCGCTTCTGCACGATGCACACCTGGAGGGCAGACGGAATGTCCACGTCGATGCCACCACCCTCACCCCCCCACCCTGCCCGCTGTAGACGCGACCCGGAAACGACCGGATGTCTTTGGTGGGGCAGGACCCAGCCAAGAGTACAGCGCTGGGGCCCCGGCCCTTCCCCAGCGGTGATCTGGCACCCCTTCCCGGGGCTCGGAGAAGCCGCTGACTTGGCAGGCTGTGGGGGGAGGTTGAGGAAGACCCCCTCAGCCAGAGTCCTGCACCGGGAAGGCCCCATGTGCAAGAGCTGCTGTCCTCATCAACCCTCGGCCACCATCGCCATCGCAACAGGGACCCTCCTGTGACGACAGGGGAGTCCTTGCATGGCTCTTAAATGCCAACCCCCTGGGGCACTGAACGGCAAAGTCAGTTAGCTCTGTTGATGGCGCTTACACGTTCGGGACGGAGAGACACAAGAAGCACCCAGACTTGGCTGGGGCAAGCCCGGGTAGCCAAGGGGCATCAGTCAGAGCCAGGGACGAAGGTCTCCAGAAGGAAGCGGGGCTAATGCACAAAATCGTGGGCTGGGGGGGGGCAATGCCATGTCCCCCATTCAGGTTGTAGAGAGACCACTCAAGGACAGATAACCCAAGCCACATGTGAGGGTCCCCTCGCCTTCGGGCTTTAGATCTCCAAGCCACAGGAGCCAGGGTGGGGTGGGGGGTGGGAAAGAATGGGAGGAAGTGGAAGATTCTAGAACTCGAGGTGGGTGGGAGGCTGTCCCTGGCGCCTCACCCAAAGGCAGGTGGCCTGGCCCTGACCAGAAGTGTCAGTGAGCATCAGAGTCTCAGGCCAAACCCCCGGGATCCAGCCCGTGTGGGGGAAGCCCACATTCCCTCACCGGGAACGCATCCTAAGAAATGAAGGTGCTTTTTTCAGAAGATGTTCATCATAGTTGAACAAACTGCTAATAACAGACTTTCAAGCAACCTTGACTTCCAACAACCTTACAGACATGGGTAAGTGAGCTCCGTGAAATACCACGCAGCCACGGAAACAACTTTTATAAAGACTTTTAATGACGTGTGACCTTTTTTATAATGCCAAGCAAAACCCAAGGCTCTGGCATTGAATGCATGACGTGGAGGCGAGGTCCCGGACGCGGGCAGAAACGGGAATGGAGTATGGGTGTCTGGCGGGCAGGCGGCGGGTGACCGTTGGCTTTGGGCTGCGGACGCAACAGCTGAGCAGCTGTAGCCCGAGTGCCGAATGCGCCCACATCATCCAGGACAGGGCCTTCGTGAGCTGCAAATGCAGTTTCCAAGGTAACGCCGCGCACCACCCTGCCAGCCCCCAGGGAGGCAAAGCTTGCCGGGGTGACGCCCACGGGCACGGAGGGGCATCCTGCCATGCTGGGCTACAAGGACCTCTGAGCCTGCTCAGCTCCCACCTCCAACCCACCCGGGGGCCTGTGCAGGCCACCAAGCCCCCCGCAAAGCTCTGCCTAAAACTGCCTCTAGCTGGGCTGACTGCCAGAAAGCTCGCAGCCAGGGATCCGGGGGCCAGCCTCAGACCTGCGTCGCTTCGTGTTTCCAAAGCCCCCCTACCTGGTCTGGATGCCCCGAGTTAAGCCCGTCCTTCCTGCTGTGCCCGGACCGTGGTGGGGGCAGACACACCGAAGCCCCATCCCTGAGGGTGGGCAAAGTGGGGCAGGGAAGGGGGGCCACAGCCAACGTCCTGCCCCATCCGTGCCGCCAAGGCTTCCCATGTGGATAAAGGCTGGGAGCAGTTCCCGTCTTCCCATGGCAAGAGGAAATGTGATGACCAGAGGGAGGGGCCCCGGTGTGTGGTCTTTTGTCACAGTGGACCCAGGAAGCCAAGATGGCGGGCCGCCCGCTGTCCTGGGAGCCGTGAGGGACGGAGAAGGGTGGCCAGCGTCACTAGACAGCGTGGTCCACGTCTGCTCTCTTTCCCAGCTGTCGGGGCTGCTGGGCGGAGATGGGCGGCCTGTCTATAGCACAGGGTTCCGGGCCTTGCTGGACAGAGACTGGGCGGAGGCAAGGCCCCCTCCACGCATGAGGCCACCAGTGTGAGAACCATGTGCTTTCTAGAATCTTCCTCATTTCAGCAAAATGGCCCAAAAGTCATCTGCAGGAGGGACAGCCCAAGCGCTCTCCCAAAGGGCCTCAGACTGCCGGGCTCAATGGGCTGTGCTGCGTCCCCGTCTCCATGAGCCCGACCTCCGATCTGGGGCCGTCCCCAGGGACGCAGACTGACAAAAAGGAGCACTGGAGACCGGGGTTTCCCGGCAGGTAAGTGATCACAGGCATAAAGCCCAGTCACCTGCTTGTCACCCCGGCTCTCGACGCTCTTCCTCAGGATTTCTGGGCCTGTGCGGAGAGGGGCATGGCTGGCGGGCTCCCCCCGTCGGCTGCACACCCGAGGGGCCCAGAGCGGCAGGCGGACTGCACCCCCACCGGGGTTCCTGGCCGAGGTCATGGGAGGAGAAGCCCGGAGCTTCAGAACCGCCTCCACATCTGCCCAACGAGGCACATTCGGTGGCTCCCAGCGAGGCCGGCAGCCCAGAGAGCTGAAGGCCGGCCACCCCCTCCCACTTTTGGGAGACCTGGCTGACACGGTGCTGCGGTCGTGGACTGTGGACGTGCGGGTTACCACGGGCCCATCCTGCATGTGACAGCTGGGAACACGGGTGAGGTCCTGCTGACAGGGCCCCAGGGAGCCCAGCGCTCACACCACATCCCAGGGTGCGGTCCGTCCTGCTGCCGACGACAGTCAGCTCCCGCCACACAGAGGGACAGACGGATGGACGCAAGAGCAAAGCCAGCCCTGTTTCCAGCGGACACTGCCCTCGGGTAGGAGAGCGCCGACTTCTGGACAGGCCGTGTCCAGCGAGGCCGGGCACCTTCAACAGGGGAAACCAAGGCCCCAGCCGTGGAGCGACTCAGAGCTGCCTTCCAGGACTCGGTGAAATTCTGAAAGAGGAAATTGTCTCAAGTGCCAGGAGATACTGCTAGCCAGCCGTCTGATGATGGGAGGGGGCTCTCCACGGCTCGGGGTTTGCGGGTCCAGCCCCCAGACACACCTGTTAGGTGGGTCTCAGCCTCAGCATCACCTCCCTGCCCGGCGGGAGGAGAAGGCCAGGCTGGCGGGGTGGGGACAGCCGCGTGCCGAGGCCGCTGACCAGAAGAGGGGTGGCAGCAGCCTGGGTTTTGGCGGTGGAGACCTGGGACTCTGCTTCAGCCCCTGACGGGAGAGCTCGGACAAGCAGGATCTGCAGTGCTGGGCTTGGGCGCCATCCCCGCCATTCCCACCATCCCCGCTGTCCCCGCTCAGGCGGCATTTACAGGATGGGAGTGGAAGTGCTCCGGCCTGGGAGCAGGCTGCCGCATTCAACCATCTCCTCCAAGGACCCCCTTGGGGTCCTTGGTCTGGGCTTTCTGAGCCGCTTCCTCCAGTCGAGGACTGAAGCAGACAAGCAGGATGGAATCGGACTGAAGCGCCAAGAGGAATAAGCTCTGCTGACCAGGGCACCCGGGCGGCTGGGGTTCCATGCGCAGCGCCCAGGGACAGCCCAGGAGCGGGGGTGGGTGATGGCAGGGTAACTGCCATCTTAATTCAATGCTGTTGATGTGCGTTGCAGATTTAGTGATTCACCCCAAGCTCTTTTCCTTTCCAAGTAGTTTTTGTTCCCCAGAAAGCAAATGCCTGACAACAGGTACTTAAAGCCTCAAACACCATGAGGAAAGTGCCTCCTGCTCCCACCTGGGGAGCTTCTGGAATGCTGGGGGGCGGGCAGTCCAGCAGGGATGGAGGAAAGAGAGCAGGAGCGCCGGCCTCCATGGCACCACCCTCCGGAGGGCGCCTGGCTTCCCTGACACGCAGACCCACGTCCAGACCCCACGGCGGGCTGCGCCTCACCAGGGAGAGCTGGGGTCGGTGTCTCCCAGGACGGGCGAGCATGCGCAGGAGGTGGGGGTGTGCTGACCTTTGGGTGGTCTGACGCCCCTCACCCCCACCTCTCGTCCCGCACCCGGTTTGCTGACTTGTCCGCCTCTGCCCGCCTCTTCCAGCAGCCCCATGGACCCGATTTTGTCTGCCTCGTTCCCAGATGTTTCAGCAGGACTGGCATAGAGTAATGAATATTTCATTAATTATTTGAAACCGAAGGGTCCCAGTGCCATCCAGGGGAGCTTCCTTCCCAGGCAGAAGGAACAGGTCTGGCCATGTTCCTGCCCCAGGGCCCCCAGCAGGATGCTAGGTGAGCCAAATGCAGGCAGGACCTAGCCACACAGGACCCCTCATCCACAGACGGGCCCTCGATCGGGGGCGGTTCATATTCATCTTCTCATGTCATGCCCACGGCAACCGCCCCCTCACGGATGAGGAATGTGGACGAGGAAACAGGGTGAGAGTGCAGTGGGCGCCCACGCAGCCCCATCCCAGCCAGCAAACACAGCGCCTGAGTCAAGGCCAAAAGATGGCGACGAAAGATTTAAAACCACCTCTGCTTGCAGATGACCTGGCTTTGCATCTGGATTTGACGGAATCAAAGTAAGCACAGGGGAGTGAGGGAGGCTGTCATTCTCTCTGGAAAGACTCAAGAGTGGGCTGAGCATGTGGAAGGCAGGCCAGGCCCGGAGACCTCATCAGCCTGTGGCTCCTTCCCGAGCAGCTTTACCAGCATGATGAAAACACCATCAGGGATGTTTCACTGTGGTTTGGGCTCTTTCTTTGCTTTGTTTGTGTTTGTTTTTTCCTGGAGCTGACAAGTTGCTCATACAATTCATTTGGGAAGAAAATCAAGCAAAAGTAGTCAGAAAAAAAACCTCTAAAAGGAGAGCAAGGCCGTGCCTTTGCCCACCAGGCAGAGCCTCCTCAGTAAGCGGTCCTGGAGCAGGACAGACGGGCCGGCCAAAGAAAATGAAGAGAGCCTGGAATCAGCCCCACGGCGCAGAGACGTGTTAGTATATCATAAAGGTGGCACCTTGAATCTGTGGGAAAATGGACTTTTTTTTTTTT